GGGGTAGTTGGAGTAGGCGCAACCGTATCCCCAGGAGACGACACCAACGAGGAGTCCACCGGAGACCAGAGGGCCGCCGGAGTCACCCTGGCAGGCATCCTTGCCGCTGGAGGCAGCGCAGATCATGGTGCTCCTGATCTCGTTACCGTATCCGTAGGAGGAGGAAGAGCACGCCGCCTGACTGACGATGTTCACGTTCACGTACTGCAGCTGGGAGGGGAGGGAGCTGGATCCGTAGGACTGGGTGCCCCAGCCGGAGACGGAGGCAGCAGCGCCGTTGGCGGGGTTGGAGCTAGCCAGACCGATGGCCTTGATGGTGGAGCTGAAGCTCAGGGCGGTGCTCAGACGGATGATGGCGATGTCGTTGACCATGGTGTTGGCGTTGTAGCCCTCGTGGTTCTTGAAGGAGGCAACCTTGGAGACGACGCCACCGGAGTTCCAGTAGGAGGATCCAGCGCGGACCTGCAGGACGGAAGCGGACACGGACTGCAGGCAGTGAGCGGCGGTCACGATGATGTATTCGGAGTAGATGGATCCACCGCAGGAGTGGCTACCACTGCGCTGCAGGGAGATCTGCCAGGGGAAGCTGCTGATGGTGGTGGCGGTGCCTCCGACAATACGACCATCCAACTGGGGCAGGAGTCCCTCGGGGACGGTGCCACCCAGGGCGCAGGCAACGGCAGACAACAAGATCACGAACTTCAGCATGGTGCGAATCCAATGAATTGCTTCTGAAATGGACACCCCTTTTATAGGGGGTTCCTATCTCCCGCCAGCGCATTAATCAGAACTTTAAATTATTTTTATCATTTGCTTGTCAGAAAAACCCAAAATGAAGACGATAGAGTGACCGACATATATTCCTCCACTCCAAAGTCTCACAGTTCTTAATCAAAAAACTTAAATAGTCAAAATTTGGGTGAAAAACTTTAAAAGCAAGATGCAGATTCTAGAGATGCTTGCACAGCGCCGGGTGCCACCGCCCACTCATAAAATTAAACTTTAATCTTTTTCTGTTTAAATTAACATTACATTATCTTTAAATTAAAATTGCAATCTTTGTCAAAAATTAATTTTTCCGTCTACTATTCTAGTAGCCTAGTGTATGCTTCTATTATAAGAGTATATAAAAAAGCGTAAAAGGCAACTTCCTTCCATTAACCTTTAATGTCTTCATATTGAGTTGAAACGCATATCTCGTCAATTCCCAATAAATATCTTGGATAAGTCAACGCTCCTTATGAACCTTTAATTTTGTGGCTAACTTGAGGGAGCGAACGGTGAATAAACCACCTTTAATTGATAAGGAGTTTTTTTGTGAATATTTTATTCGGATTCGTGGAATTTCACAATCCACTAAAGACTTCCGTAGGTACATCCTTTGTAAAAAGTTTCCGAAACGATTGTCAGTGTGAGAGAATGGACGCATATAAATTTAAAATGTAACGTTTATAATTTACACTTTCTTACTATTTGAGATTAACATTAAATTCTTTTTACTTTAATATATTGGGTAATTGATAACTTTTCAAGTACAGTTATTATATAATGCTGACATTACGAAATATATTTTCAACTTTTGCTGCCCCTTAGTCCATACCCTTCACTTTCTCCGATAATGGTTGATTGGGTTTTTTGAGACTGGCGAATGAAACATTTTGAAGTGGGCGATAAAGATTTTGATCTTAAGTTGTGGCTTAGCGTGGTCGCGTGTCGATTTTGTGATTGATCCTTAAACAAAAACCGTTAGGAAAATATTGTACGGTAAATTGGGAGTCCGTTTTTAAAATATAAAGCTAATAGCCTTTATTATTATAACACATTTCTTTACATACTTACACTTTTAGCACGACCGGACCTTTTATCGGAAGATTGTTAATTAACATTTAATATTAATATTAAAACAATGATATCCTCAATTCCATTCGCACACTTTCACAACATGTACTTTCTAAGGTCGGAAACGCTTCCATCTACTTTCCTACGAATACAATATACCCTTTTACTCTATGATAAGCGGATATAAGAATTTAAAATCGCACAATATTGCGACAGTCGAAAATTATAATCAGTGTACGTTTTTTGGACGTTGGTCACTACTGTGATGAACCCTTTTTAGAAGCGTGCCTAAACAATTGCGTATTAATATTGAATCCAAATAAAATTCGCGGAACCTATCAGTTGGGGAGTATCTGCCGGTCACTTCAACGAAATTATTTTGGGTTTTCCAGACAAGCAAGTGATAAAAATAATTTAAAGTTCTGATTAATGCGCAGGTGGGAGATAGGAACCTCCTATAAAAGGGGTGTCCATTTCAGAAGCAACTCATTGGATTCGCACCATGCTGAAGTTCGTGATCTTGTTGTCTGCCGTTGCCTGCGCCCTGGGTGGCACCGTCCCCGAGGGACTCCTGCCCCAGTTGGATGGTCGTATTGTCGGAGGCACTGCCACCACCATCAGCAGCTTCCCCTGGCAGATCTCCCTGCAGCGCAGTGGTAGCCACTCCTGCGGTGGATCCATCTACTCCGAATACATCATCGTGACCGCCGCTCACTGCCTGCAGTCCGTGTCCGCTTCCGTCCTGCAGGTCCGCGCTGGATCCTCCTACTGGAACTCCGGTGGCGTCGTCTCCAAGGTTGCCTCCTTCAAGAACCACGAGGGCTACAACGCCAACACCATGGTCAACGACATCGCCATCATCCGTCTGAGCACCGCCCTGAGCTTCAGCTCCACCATCAAGGCCATCGGTCTGGCTAGCTCCAACCCCGCCAACGGCGCTGCTGCCTCCGTCTCCGGCTGGGGCACCCAGTCCTACGGATCCAGCTCCCTCCCCTCCCAGCTGCAGTACGTGAACGTGAACATCGTCAGCCAGGCGGCGTGCTCTTCCTCCTCCTACGGATACGGTAACGAGATCAGGAGCACCATGATCTGCGCTGCCTCCAGCGGCAAGGATGCCTGCCAGGGTGACTCCGGCGGCCCTCTGGTCTCCGGTGGACTCCTCGTTGGTGTCGTCTCCTGGGGATACGGTTGCGCTTACTCCAACTACCCCGGTGTCTATGCCGATGTTGCTGCTCTCCGCTCCTGGGTGATCAACAGCGTCTAACAACTTTGCGAAATAAAACGAATTTCCCGATTATAACTTTGTGCTTTCATCTTTATTGGTCAATCAGTCAGTCAATCAATCACGGGCGGCCGAGTTCCAAAGGCGGTTCTTCGTCTGCGCATTGGCCTTATCGCTCCTGGACACTGGACGGAGATGAGCTGCGTCCACTATGTCCCTAATGGCATTTGGCTTAGGCGGAAATTTTCCTCTTCATTTCTTGTTACTCACTTGAACTCTTCGTAGGTCTGAGTGCTATAAACAGCCCGTAGTTTGGCATCATTGCGCAGCTCGTAGAGTTCTCCATCACGGATGCACTGCAGACAGTTCTCCCGCAGACGGACGAGCTCCTCCGACGTTATCTTCCAATCCTCCATTTTGTTTTCTTCAATTAAAAATGTTGTTTAACGTTTTTCGTACTGGGAAATGAATTTGTTTAGCGAGGGTTGCCTGGGTAACTGGCTTTGCTATCGAAAAAGAAAAGCTCGTTAAGATTAGAGCCGACCAAATCCACCCGTCAGTATCGATAATACCAGCGATAAGATCCTATTAGCCGGCGATTAAGTTTTACAAGCTTGTCGGGAACATGAAGAGGTTTCATGGACATAGACGAACAGTTTGCTCTTGGCTTTCGGAATGGCTGTATACTGGTTAGCGGGTACTGTGTTGGTCTTTCTGTTCCTCAGAGCAGCGGCAGATGTAGAGACCAATGGACGGATTGTGGGCGGAAGTGAGCAGGTGCTACGCAACGCCCCCTGGCAGGTGTCCATTCAGTTCAGTGCTCGCCACGAGTGTGGAGGGGTCATCTACAGCAAGGAGATCGTCATCACTGCCGGACACTGTCTGTATGAGAAGTCCGTGACCCTGATGAAGGTGCGAGTGGGGGCACAGAACCACAACTATGGTGGCACCTTGGTTCCCGTGGCGGCGTACAAAGTCCACGAACAATTTGATTCCCGTTTCCTGCACTACGACCTTGCCGTTCTACGCCTGTCCACTGCACTGACCTTTGGTCTCTCCACCAGAGCCATCAACCTGGCCACGCAGAGTCCACTGGGCGGATCGACAGCCACTGTCACGGGTTGGGGTTATACGGAGAATGGAACCTACGCCGACACCCTTCAAAAGGCCCAGCTCCAGATCATCGATCGCAGTGAATGTGCCTCCCAGAAGTTTGGCTACGGTGCGGATTTTGTAGGCGAGGAAACCATTTGCGCCGCAAGCACTAATTCGGATGCTTGCACAGGCGACTCTGGAGGTCCTTTGGTGGCCAATAGCCAGCTGGTCGGCATCGTATCCTGGGGTTATCGGTGTGCGGACGAAAACTATCCCGGTGTCTATGCCAATATAGCTGTGCTGCGACCCTGGATAGTCAGGGCAGCCAATGCCATATAAAGTGGTTTTTGGAAAATAAAATGCATGCTTAAAAACAAAATAAGCGCCAGTTTTATTTACCGCCCCCCAGGTGGAATCGAACCACTTCGACGCTAATCGACTACGGATTTGAAGTCCGCACCCCGGACCACCGAAGTTCAGTGGGGCACTAGGTTCCATACAACTTTCCCTATTTATACGCACGCTGCGCAGAAAAAGCACTTGGGAATTATAAGGGGAATTCATTTCATCTTACGAAATGTTATGATATCTTGAAAAAAGATAATGGTATCTATAAAGATCGCGTCGTGATAGGCATGCGCATTATAAGAACTTTAACTTGTTTTTGATTCGCAATTTTCAAAATAGTAAACATATTGTTTAATAACAAGTATTTACCTTAAAAATTAAATTTTCAGCAGCTTAAAAAAGTTAAGGATCTCCAAAATAGTTCAAGAAAAACTGAAAGAATAGCTGTAATGGCTAAAATAAATTCACAAGAGACCACAGCTCCGTAACCAAAGTATTCACTTCTATAAAAAAAGGATACAGTTTATTACAAAATATTAACTCAGAGAATCACCATTATTCATTAATGGAATGCAGTAGCAAATGCATATAAAGATAATATCGCTCTCACAGGCGATTTCAATACCATTGAGGGACTTATGGAATTTCAACAAAAGATCAAGGAGTTAGGATAATGATAAAAGTTTGCCGTCTGGAGTCCGCATCACTTGCGTGGCTGCTGGATGTGGTTCAGGGGCTTCTGCTGCACTGCAGCCGGTGGCTTGGGAGAGTGGGCCACCTGGGCAGAGGCTGGAGTAAAGTCAGTGTTGCCCTTGACGGGGGCACCGCTCACAGATCCCGAGTTCACGGCAATGGGTTGCTGAGGGTGAAAGAATGGTTATTTTCAGCTATCATTAAACAATTTTTGTCCGGAACTCACTGTCAATCCAGTGCAATCCTCGGCATCCTTGGGCGCACGCTCTGCCGTGGGCGCCTTGTGCTGCACAATTCGCATACCTCCTGCCTTCACTGAAATTTTAAGTAAAGCATAATTTTAACACTGCGAAATAAACGCGGTGATAGTCGTTGGCAATGGTTAAAATAATTAAACTTATTCCTATAACTTTATCAAATGACCATCCATCCATAAAATGAACTGCATAATATGATAAATACTTTTAAAATAGCATTTTATTGGGACAGCTTTGAAACTGATCCTGCAAATGGTATAGAAACAGGCAGACAAGTCTATATTGATCAAGAATGCATATACATACATATTATGGAATCGGCAATGATCCCTAACTGCTTTACAAACTTCTGATCAAAACTACAATACTCTATGCGGAGGGTATCGACAAAATTTAATGTCGATGTTCATCTGACGTCAGCAAAAAGTGAAAAATATTTTTGGAAGCAATGCCTTTGTGTGTGCGTGTGTTCGGGTTGTTTGTTTACTTATCAGCTTTGGCCGAAACAGATTAAGATACTGATAAGGCCGTAGATATTGCGGCAATTGATAGAATTGGTTGCATTATTAATTGCCAGCGGGGCAATTCTTAGATTTCTTATTGGAATGGTCTTAATGGAAAAAAATCAAAACACGCCTGAACACACGCACACCAATGGAAGTGCACTTACATGCAGGTGGGTGTCCAGCCACGAGATTGGGTTGTTCATCTGCCATTTTCTCTTGGTTTTTTGAGCTATGAATTGGGTAGAGTATATAATTACCTATTTATTAATAGTTTTACAAGGATTTGTGGGCTTACCGCTTCTCTTGTTGTTAATAAATGTGCGGCACCGCTGTGTTTTGCTTTTGCGTTCTAATTGTGACACGTACGACGGTTGCCTATCGAAATTTTTTTCAGTGCGTTCCCACTGGCGGCGCAGTAAGGCAGCCGCTGTAGCGTGTTCTCACTGCACACTGTTCTTAAAGGAGTTGATATTTGCAAACACTTTTAAGGAATCCTAAATTAATTAAATAATTAACTCACAGCCTGAAAACAAGATCTCTCAGAAAACGTGTTGTCTGGCAATCTGATTATAATATCCTGTTATATAATAATATTTTATATTTTTGTTGCTGAATTCTTTACCATATACTGGGGTATCACGGAACGCTCTTCGTTCTAAATTCGGAGTAAGCTTGTACATTTCCCCGAAAGAAATTTAAATTGCTTATAAATACAAAAACCATACTCTTCTTAAATATCAGTACTTTTAATTTTGAGCTTAAGCCTAGACTTGGCAAATATTAATGCCACTACAACTATCAATCAGCCTGGGAAATATTTTGCGCTGCGCTGATCAGGGTGTCGTGTATATCTTTGGCCGACTGCACGTGAACCCGGACAGTATTCAAGTAGGTGGGATACGGAATGGGTCCGGCGTTATCCGGCATAAAGGTCTCCATGCGCATGGGCGTCACCGGACCAGGGAGATAGTGATTGGAGGAGTTCTGCTGCTGGAGACACTGCATCGCCGTCTTCAAGTGTATCTCGATCTGGTCGCAGCAGGCGTAGAAGTCTTCCAGGTGCTTGTCGAACCGTGGCACATGGTGGGCACCCGTGTCCCTCTTCAAGTTGTCCGCCAGATTGTTCTGTTGCAGCGTGAAGGCGCTCGACCGGATGGTGAGGAACATCGATTCCCGCAACGGTCCTAGCAAACTCTTCACCCTGGAAATGTTGTCCAGTTTTTCCGCCTGCTGCTGCTGCTGCAGCGGTTGCGGCTGTTGTTGCTGCTGGTGCTGCACGGGTCCCGGAGGTCCTGAGGGCGAGGACTGCATCACCTGCATCATCTGTGGTCCCGACATGGGCATCATGTTCATGTTTGGATTCATTTGGCACTCAAAAAACTTGGAAATACGAAGAAACTAAACCGCTGATTGTTTTCTTTTTTCGATGGCAAAATGCGTAGGATTTCTCATAACCGCGTTTGCGCCTCATCCATGGCAAAAATCGATTTCAATTTTAAAAGTTGTAAATGTTTACTAACTAAAGCAGACTAAATAAAAATAAAAAGCAGAAATTAAATAAAAAATGGTTAAAGTTACTATATATTTTTAATTTTACAAAATAAATACATCAAAAACTTAATTTTAAAAATCTGGAATTTATCTGAAAACGATTGCCGTCTTCAAATTATACATTTTATGTATTTTTATTTGAAAGCAAGCTATCTCTAAAACTTCTAAACAATACACAACACCAATAAGTTCATTTATATACATATTTGGCAGTCAACTTTTGAATTCTAAAATCTAGCTTGAAATTAAAAGACATTTTTTTCGATTTATAGCTGTTTTGGCCCGCACTGTGGCCGGCGGCAGCAATCGATAACGATAACCAGCGGCCAGCAACCTGGACAATCAGAACAGCTGTGGCGCTTAAAACACATTTTTCTATTAGAATTTACAGGCGCAAGGCGCGTTGCTAAAGTAACAGGAACAGTACGAACACCATGACCAGGTGAGTGGGCGTCCATGGCGACCGACTGGAGGATTGTGTCGGCGGGAACAGCCCCGGAATCATAACCTAAAAGTGTCGCTTGGCTCTTGCTAACCCATCTCCTTGCCCTTTCCCGCCTGCAGGAACAGCATCGAACTGGGCGATGTGACGCCCCACAACATCAAGCAGCTTAAGAAGCTCAACACCGTGGTGTTTCCGGTCTCCTACAACGACAAGTTCTACGTGGACGTCCTGGAGGCCGGCGAACTGGCCAAATTGGCCTACTACAACGACATTGTCGTGGGCGCCGTCTGCTGTCGCATCGACACCACCGAGAACCAGCGGCGTCTGTACATCATGACCCTGGGATGCCTGTCCCCGTACCGCCGTTTGGGCATCGGCACCGTCATGTTCGAGCACATTATGAACTTTGCCGAGAAGGACGGAAACTTTGACAGCATTTTTCTGTAAGAAAACTTATCGTTTTGACTCGGGTACTACCCAAAAAGCTGGAAAACTTGAAGAGCGAATCAGTAGTTTACGTATATCTTTAATTGAGAATTTAAAAAAAGGGTTTTCATCTTAGCCCAACCAACTTATTATCTAGCTTCCATTCAGAATATGCTCGTTCTTCTCTCCAAAAGATAAGAATATTTTTTGAGCTTAAACTTTTTGAACTGTTCAAGCTCAAGTACATCATTATTAAATTTTATCTAGTTTCTCCAATTATCATAACAAGGAACTGGAATTTATAATATCTTACAAATTCGTTTTTAAGTCAAGATTAAGAAAAAGCTTTAGAATGTCCTATAAAAATATTTCCTTTCTTAAATGTTGACGCCAGCATGTTGGTTTATACCGCAAATATTTAAAACCCTTTCAATTAATATTAACAATAATTTTAGGCATGTTCAAATCAACAACGACGGAGCCATCGAGTTCTACAAGAAGTTTGGCTTCGAGATCGTGGACACCAAGGAGCAATACTATAAGCGCATCGAGCCGGCGGACGCCCATGTCCTGCAGAAGGCGCTGCGACGCACTGCACCCAACTCCAACAGCTCCGCCAACAATACCACCGCCAACTCGAATTCCCGTAGTAAAGCACGCCAGTTCACGTTTGTGTAAAGATGAGTTTCAATGTGTATAACAACCAGACATGTAGAGGCGGCCAAAACGATGTATTCAATTAGTCCGATCATATCTATGTGTAATCAATAATTATAACCCCTGCGCGGGAATAAATAGCTCTGTACGGCTCTGGCCAGTCCAAATTCAAGTTACTCAGACAATGCAGCGCGAAGATGGCTTTGTTTATTGCTACGGAAATTTGTACAGCTTGCTGTTCTACTGGGGATTGGTCTCGATCCGGGTGAGGAGCCCCAGTCGAGGAGGGGCGGTCTCAAATAGGTGGACGGTAGCCTATGCCCTGTGCGCGCGGTTCGTCTTGGTTAACTGCTTCCTTGGCAGCGTGTTGGTGAAACTCAGGAATCCCGAGATGTCGGCCGCCATGTTTGGACACCTCAGTCCGCTGGTCAAGGCGATTTTTGCCTGGGCGTGTCTCAGCTGCTCCATCACCTATGTGGAGTACTGCCTGTCACTGGATTCGAAAAGGAGCAGGCACCGTAAGCTCTTAGCCAGCATGCAGGAGTTTGATCGGTCTGTCTTGGAAGTGTTTCCTCATGTCAAGTGGAACTACCTACGCTCTCGATTGAAGTATTGGTATGGCTCTGTGATCGTTGGCTCTTGCTATTTCTCCTTTACCATCGCACTGATCTTCGACACTGCGCGTTGCACCTGCGGCATACCGTCCACCTTGGTATTGGCTTTTACCTACACCCTTCTGACCAGTTCCGTGGGATTGGTGGGCTTTGTTCACATCGGAATCATGGACTTTCTGCGGGTGCGCCTACGACTGGTGCAGCAGCTGCTCCAACAACTTTATCAAGCCGATGGAAATCGAGAGGTTCACGAGAAGATTGCATTCCTGTTTGACATGTCCAAGCGCTGCTCTTTTCTTCTGGCGGAGCTGAATGGAGTGTTTGGGTTTGCCGCCGCAGCTGGGCTCTTTTACGACTTCACCATCATGACCTGCTTTGTGTATGTCATTTGCCAAAAGCTTCTGGACCGAGAACCCTGGGACCTAGAGTACGCCTTCATGCTGCTCCACGTGACCATACACACTTACAAAGTGGTCATCACCAGCACCTATGGATACTTGCTCCAACGAGAGGTGGGTGAGCTGTTTCCTTAGGTAGATGTCTACATTTGAGCATCTTGATCCTTCCCAGAAGCGGAACTGTATGCAGATGTTGAGCAACTACTCCAGATACTTTCCTGGTCAGGATTTGGCCCGCCGGCAGACGGAGGACTTTCAGCACTGGCGCATGCACAATCGTCAGGCGGCATTGGTTGGCACCACAACAGTACTGAATGTTTCTATAATTTATATGGTGGGTAATCTGACCTGACCCGGGGTCAAACCACCCTAATCCTTCTGAATGAACTTTAAAAACAGGTGTACAACGGCATGGCCAACTATGTGATTATCCTGGTACAGCTGCTATTCCAGCAACAGCAGATCAAGGATCGCCAGCTAACATCGGGCAAGGATGTCGACATTATTGGGCCGATGGGTCCCATTACTCACATGGATTAAATGCAGTAAATAAAATATGCTTGCCTTTATTATCCATAAATCAATCTGATTTTAACAATTTCTTTCTGATGATTTTTTAGCAGCTCCAGCTCCAAATGTAATACAAGTTTAAGTTCAATACAAATTTCTTATGACTATTATACAACGAGTATACTCAAAACATAACAAAATTTGCAACCAAACCAACCTGGTAAGAATTAATATATCAAAAAACACTTATAACGACATGAATGCTTTCATCAAAAAACCAACAACAAGTGTTTCGATACTTATATCAATTATATAAAAGCAATGATAATAAAACTTCTTTGTTAAACATTTTCGGTCAATGTTAAAACTGATAACCTTTAATCGTCATAATAATCGTCACTATCATCGCCAAAAAAGTGCCAGCTGCAGCGCTCATAAGAAAGTTTATATTGTCCAGGATAAGTTTTGAGGGTCAGGTATGCGCTATCCAAAACATTTTTATAATCGACGAGGTTCTGTGGTGTTAAGTTTGCGAGAAGATTGCTATCGGAATAACAAAAGTACGAAAGCTCATTGGATTGGATAGCATCCACTAGATCGTAGAGGAGCTGCAATAAAAAATTGGTCTTGTAAAAACGTATAGTGATATATAGTACATTGTTTTAATCTGTGTACGTATTGTTATTACCCAGAAGAAAAAGTAATTGTAATATTTTAAACTTTGGATTGGATCCCAGCTCTTAGAACAAACTCAGCTGATAATCCATCCAGATCAGTAAAATGGTCTTTCTGGGCTTTTTTTTCATAACAAACAAGCATTTATAATCTATTTATACGTACATCTAAAAAGATATCTTCCAACGAATAATCTTCAAAATCTTCACTGGCCACTAGGTTGAGGGCCAAGGAAACCAAATGGTAGTTGCGAATCTTGGGCAGGTCCTTTGCCTGGCACAGTGCCCTCAGCAACAATAGGGCATCTTTTATGTTCTGACCGCTCTTATTAAAGAAATGTATCTCGCTTTTAATGGCACTCATCATAAAGGTGCATCCGTTTGACCGTTTTGGTCCTGGCGAGAATTTGGGTACCCCTTCCCAGTCGCATCCATCGAAGTGGATCCTGATCGCTGGCACAAAGTCGATGGAGAACACATGGCGTTTCGATTCCGCGGTGATGGTGTGGCAATTTGGTTTGCGGTGGTACCGCAGTGTGTAATTATCGTAGTGCCTGCCCGTCAGCGTGCGACCGTGGGCATTCATCAGGATGCACTGCATCAATGTTTGCACCTCCTCGCGCTTGAGATACCAACGATTATCCAGAAGCGTGTCCTCCGTAAAACTGTTGAATGACATATTTTTGAAGTCCAAGTGCACCATCCCCGGACGATGTTGATCCGGGCGTACGATAATATCTTCATAAGAGGGAAACTCGAGCAATATCAACACGTCGTAATCGCTATCATAGTTCTGGATTCCTAGAGCTCTGCTGCCTACAAAGCACAGAATTATATTTGTATCTCATGTAATTGTTATATTACATACCAAAGTTTACGCTTTCAACATTGCATGTGGTTGTCAGCAAATTATTCTGCTTCACTATTTTGTCCAGTATAAAATCCCGGACGACGGCGAAATCACAGTGGTTTGTATAGCCGTAAAGATCAGCGACAATCTGTTCCAAATGTTGTTCAAAGGTGGAACTCATATTTGTTTTAACTTTTAGGCTCTATGAAAATATAAAAGGGTTCTATGAAATAAGGGATTTGTTGTAAGGGACCTAATTTGAGTTACGAATAAGAATTTTGAATGTTACATACAAGAACTTTTTCGGTTGGCTTTTGTATGATCTGTTGCTTTAATTAAAACCAGATGACGATATAATATTGTAGAAATATACCTTTATGAATTTTATTGGTTCCGAAGATTTGGGATTTGATATATTAGTAGTTTTCCGAAGACAAAAAAAGAATACAATAAAAATAAAGAGATGTATAATCTAGTTAGAGGTAACCATAAAAGTATTATGAGTTCTTGTAGAACCAGTAGTTTATGCTTTTGTGGGGAACATTAAACAGATAAAAATTAGTAGAGGATAATGCAATTATTCATAAAAGCATTCCTTAAAGTGTTCCTTAGGAAACGTGTATATGGGCTTTAATCAATGTTGCAAATATGCCAAATGGTTGGGTCAACACAAAATACGAAATAGTTCCTGGGGGGTCATCAGGTGGTGTACAAGTAAGTAAATATGTATTGGCTGCAGATTGCATCAAAACTCCGTTAGGCGCTCATATAAAAATCGCCTACATTATGTAAACGCACACCAATGATTGTGTATTATATATGGTTATATAGTTGAATGTTTTGTATATAGAGGCGTCCGTATATACACACACATACATAAATACATATGTGCACACGCAAAGCGTTCGCCTACTCCGCAGTCCGGACATCGTTTATCGATTCGCGAAAGGCAACAACAACAACACCGGCACAGCAACGGCAGCTACAACAAATAAAACCTACAGCAGCAACAACAACAACAGAGCTCCACCAGCGGCGGTAGGCCGCTCTCCGCCCCCCTCCCCTAGCGCTCCGTTCCAGCTTGCTGATGGCATAGACCAAAGCCCATTGCCCGCCCCCTTCCAGGCAGCCCCACAACACCCCCCCGGCCAGCCCCAATCTCCCCCACTCTCTTTTTGCGGCACAGCTACACACAGCAGCAAACTCACACACACACACACATACTTACAGGCAACGAACGGCCCACACACACCCATACATACAGACAGCCAGGCCTTCGACGTCGAACGCCAAAACGCCCAGCGACCCACTACCCGCCCGTCACCTCCCCTCCCCTCCCCTCTCCCCTTCTCCATTCCACGAAATGCTGCTGTTGCTGCTGCCTTTGTTGTTGTTCTTGTTGCTGCTGCTGTTTGGGGGCTGGCTGTTGATGATAATGATGATGATGGCGACGATGATGATGTTTGGAGCTGGCAAACCGGGAGCTGTGGGTGCGAGAGGGAGGGGGGTGAGGATGGAAAGGGGGAAGGGGGCGCTGAAGAGGCAGAGGGGGAGAGCAAGAGCCGGCCGCCAGGACTTGTGCCAAAAGAGCGAGAGGGACGGGGCGCAGAGACGTCGCTGCTGCGAGTGCGAGTGGGGGCGGGCAGAGAGGCAAAAAGAGGGAAGAGGGGGGGAAAGAGGGCGATGGCGAGGGCGGGCAGAGAGGCGAGGCGAGACGAGAGAAAAGCGAAAAAATACTTATAATAAAAGCAACAAAAAACCCGCACAAGCTGAAGAGATACAAACGTACACACGCAGCCAAAGCGCACAAACACACACATACAGGCGCCGACGTCGTCGCCTGGCTAAATATTCGCCAATGTGTGTGTGTGTGTTAGTTTGGAAGGAGCCAAAGCGGTAGGTAAGTTAACTGGTCGTAGGTTCGCAACAACAAAACCAGAGTCGCAGCAGCAGGAAAAGAAGAAGAGGACGGGAGGCCTTGGGGGAAAGGGGACCTGAAAGAGACGGATCGATGGAGCCACTTCGCTGAGCCAGAAGCGGATCCAAGGGGGTATAAAAGGGGGTTCAACTGCAGATATGAAGTTCCCCTTTAAAATTGGTTAAAATTACGTAGTATCAATTTTAAGGGGTTTTTCTATTAAGAATTATACCCCACATCACACATTAAGTTTCTACTATAAGTAAAAGCCTTATAACAACCTAAATTCTCTTAAATACTTTTATTGCTAAGTATTTTTCAAGAACAAAACGTTTAAAACCCCTTTTAAATGCACTCCACATACGCCCCTGGGCTGGCTCGCCCACTCTTATGTTTTGCTCATCCTGCTCTCCTTCACCCACCTCCCCACCACCCCTTTCTCGAAATCACTCTACCCCTCCCCTCTCTCCACTGACTCTCTCTCGTCAAGCTGCTCTATACTAGCGGTACCAAAAGCTCTCTTGAGCCAAACTGATAAGGATAAGCAAAGATCACTCTCTTTTTTGCATAGCTTGAAGCTCTCTCTCTCACCCCTCGCCAATTTCCATCGAAATGATATCCTTTCGATATTTCTTTGCTTATGCTATGACCTTGAACTTGGCTTGATGGCGGCACGTGATAATCAACAGTTTCTTCCTCGTGATGCATTTAAAAATGCATTTAAGCTGCTTTTGCAGCACATTTTGCCTGCCACAAAGTGCGGGCAGCATCGCAGTTTTGTCGCGCTTGGTTTTTGTATCCAACCCGCAAAACATACATACATACATATATTTTTATAAACATACATACGTACAAAACACTAGTGCAACTAGCCCTCTGGTTGTTGCTTTTATGTTGTTTTTGCCCTGGTGGGCGGTTAGCGCTGGAGCGGTGCGAACGCCCATGTCGCCCCCCTCCCCCGTCTCTTTTCCATCATGATGAGCTCGCCTGCTTGTTCTTGTTCTTCTTTACACGTCCTCCAACGACGTTCGCTGTTGGGGCCCCGCTTTTGTTGTTGTTGTTGTTGGTGTTGTTGTTGCTCTTCTTGTTGTTGTTGGTTCGGGCTGTCGTCTATGCATGTGTGCGTGTGTGTGTGGCCTGTGTGTCTGTGAGTGTGCGCGCGCGGCGGGTGGTGGGGGCGGTGCGGGGAGGGAAGGGGCAGGGCAGGCAGGGGCGGTGCGGCCAGGGGGAGCGGTGGAGTGGGGAGCGTACTTGTGTGTGCATGCAGCTCTCGGCGGCGGCGTCGTCGTCGTCGTCGTCGTTTCATTCAAGTGTCCAACGTTTGCCGGAGCGGTCGCACACAGAACGGTAGTCGGACGGTTGGCAGATTCAGATTCGCTCTCTGGTTTGCTCTCGCTCTCTCTCTCTCTGTGGCTTTCTTGCTCTCTGTGTACTGTTAGCGTAAGGCACTAGGCATAGAGCAGAGGGCTCCCGAAAAATAAGGAGCTCGCGATACCGTTAGCCAAAGCACCGTTAGCATGAAGGATGTGAAAGTGGCGCGCGCAATCAGCGAGTCCTCGACCACGTCGGATAACACCTCCGATTTCATCGAGATCGTCAAGAAGTACGATGTGGTGTACAACAATCACAATCCGGATTACAAGAACGTCGAAGTGAAGCTGAAGGTGTGGACGCAAATCGCCGATGAGATAGGTCTTTCAGTGGGTAGGTAATAGTACTAGCGGTTCCCTAGTTATAGTACCACCCCACCCACCAGCTTCACCCTACCCCCTCCCACGCCCACTCTCTAACAAGGAGGCGCAGGAAATTGAATTACGTAGAACCCACGCACACTGCCACACCGTATATATACCACCTATGTATATGTACCTGAAAGCGGCCAAACTCAAACCGCCCGGCCTGATATTTTTCGTACGCTGGTACATATATGTATATAGAAAACGTATTTGCTTGTGTGTGTGTGTGTTGGAGTGCGGTCGGCAAATTGCAGCGAGAAGCAGAAACAAAAAAAAAATAAAAAGGAAAACACACTGGCACGCAGAAAAAACAAACAAAAACAGTCCAAGAGCGAAAACTGCGCGCTCTCTGATGCTGAGAGAGAGCGAGAAAGGGTACGGGTTGGCGGGGGTGGTGCGGCAGTGGGAGTGGGCAGGCGAGAGCTTTTCAAAACAAAAACATTGCGCACGGTATTGCCAGGTGCGAATTTTGACCTAAAACAAGCAACCACCTGTGCTGCACTTTCAAATATTAAAAAAAAATCTACAACCCTAAAAGAACATGTACAAATCTTAACAAACATACAATTTTTGTTTTAAACCTAATAAATGCCATTTTTACTTGCTTGGGCTTCTAAACTTGTAGCACCCTGTATTGACCTCTACTTGTTTCTCTTTCTTTCGCTCTCTCATAAACATAAACATCTTCCGTTTGTTATTATTGCATCGCCGGCATTAATTTTTTCTCTTGCATTTCCCTTTCATTCAAACGGGACTTATGTTTCCAAGAACTTTACTTGAAACGTTTTGTCAGAAAAGATTATACGCATAATTTGCATATACTTTTTACATATATAACTTAACTTTAGCCAATTAAGCTGTTTACGTATATTAAGTCCCTTGAAATTCGGGGAATCCCAAGAATTATAAGTACTGATAACAACTTACCAGCGGTTGAATGAATGTTTGTTTAGTTTCTTGGCACTAGCAATTTCTTTTGCGTTGCAATGTGCGCCAAAAAATAAAGGATCCTTTAAATTACTTATTTGACTGGCAAAGATAGCTTGCAACTTGCTTGGATCTCCGAATTCGACTGAACTAAATTCCCGATAAGAATATGTAATTTTTGACACTGTGTTCCCTGGAGCCCTGCATTTCGTTGGCATTGAAAGGCGGTCACACTTCTGGAGGTTTTAAATTTGAATTTAAAATTTTGAGTAACTTAATTTTTATATTTAAAAAAAAACCAGTTTCACCTATTTTAAACAGTCTAAAAGTGTATAAGCCCAAAACTTAATTTATCTACAAAAAACATACTAAACGTAAAAAAAAAAAAAATAAACAATTATATTTACAATCCCGATTATAAACTTTCAATATTTCATTGGTTTTGCAGAAGCCTCCAAACGGAAATGGAAAAATTTAAGGGACAGCTATACAAAGTATCTCCGCTCATTTCGCGTGGGCACCAAGACGTCCAAGAAGTACCAGTACTGGGCCCATGCAGACCACATGGATTTCCTTAAGCCCTTTCAGGGGCCGGGCAGGTGAGTGATACCTACTGAAATAACCGAACCAAACTGATCCCTAAACTGCACTTATAGAAACTCCGCCAATGGGAACGGAAAATCCAACGACGAGGATGACACGGAATGTGATTTTGGCTACCAAGTTTTGGCCAAGGCGGCCAGCAATGGAGGCGAGGATGAATTGAAGATCACGATTGCCACTGCATCAGCGGGCTGCTCGTCCATTGGAACTCACACGGTTAATACTTATACGACCGCTTTGAGCAGTACTTCGGCGCCCGCCTTGACATCCAGTTTGGGCGTGGCCACGCCCCCGAATATGATCTCGCCGGGAAGCAATTTGGGCGGCACAGGAGGAGGATCGGGAGGCGCTTCCGGATCCGCAGGACCGCAAATTCACAATAGCAATAGCAATGGCAGCGCCACCGGGAGTCTCAACTGTGCTGCAGTGGCTCCGCTTAGTTCAATGACACCACCTGCCACCAGTGGCTGCAATTCCGCCGTGGTCCTGCCCCTGCCCATCTCACCCGCATCCTCAGCCGCTGCCGCAGCAGCTGCTGTCAGCAAGGCCAATGCCAATGCCCTGGCGTCGCTGGCCAACCACCTGCCCATGGGCTTGGGTGTAGGCGGATTGGCCCAGCAGATGTTCCCGCTGGCCACGCTCAAGGCGGCGGCCGTGGCCGCTGGACTGCCGCTGCCGCCCACGATCACTCCGCCGGGTTGCAGCTCCGGAAGCGGGCCCAACAGCAACGTGGGCTGCCTGATCATCGAACCGCATCTCTTTGCGGCGGCGGATAACTTCAAAAAGGAGCTAACGGCCGCTGCGGCAGCTGGAACACCTTTGGGATTGTTCCAGAACCTGGCCAATCAAGTGCAGAATGCCAATCGCTTGAATGGCAACTGTCCTGGCGTTAATTTACCCATGGGCAATCCCACCCCGCCACCACCACCGTCAGCGCCACCGGCTTCCAAGGTGCGAAGGGTGCAACCTTCGCCACAAACCACGGCCATTAATCTCAGCTGCTCGGGCGGAAATTCCGGACAAATGCAGCCACAGCAGCCGATGCAAATGCCACAAATTCAGCAGCAACAGCAGGCGTCGCCTGCCAAAACGCGTAAGATCTGTGATCCGCGTTTCCCCAGCGATTGGGACGTGTCCGCTGTGCTGCAGGCCAACCGGGAACTGGACGCCAATACCCTGTTCTTCCTGAGTCTGGCGCGGCAGGTGCGTGCCATGCCCATGAAGTTCCAGTCGCTGGCCAAGATGCGTTGCATGCGAATCGTCAGCGATTTGGAGCTGGAGCTGGAGAATTTTGACTGCAACGGGGGAGCGCCACCGCCAGATGATTCGGGCGGAGGAGGAGGAGCCGGGAATCTTAAGTATTGCAGCATTGATACTCCGCCACCGCCACCGCAGGATGGCTCCGTGGTCATACTCCCGCCGCCAGTTGGACCCGAGGGTTCCACGGAGCACTTTGTTTATGTGATGTCGCCGTCGCGGGTGGAGAGCATGATCGACATCTCCTCGGACGAGGAGGCGACCATGAACGGGGTGCCCTCCGCAGGACAGGTTTAAAAGTATTCGTACAAGTTATCTCTAAATTAAAATTAAATTAATCTCAAATAGACTTCACCGGTTGGTCTTTCGATCTGTTTATTTTGGGGCGGCGGGTGATCCGATGCTTAGGTGTACAAATGTGGAAAAATCTCTGGGACCCGGCCAATTTGATGCTACATGATGTTAGTGCGAATGAATTTCATTCAAGGAAACGATGACTAAGGCATCCGTTCTTAGGACTGCACCTTGCCCTTGGTGGTGAAGGCGAAGTAAGCGAATCCGCCGACCAGGAAGGCGGCGAGCAGCTCGGCCTTGATCCAGGGACCCTTGTAGGCACCCTTGGTGGGCACGGAAATGTCGAGCAGGGATTTCACCGAGGAAACCTTGTCGCCATCACGCTGGGCCTTGCGCACATTGGCATAGCCATCCTCGTCGAAGAGACGCACCTGAACGTTGCCACTGCTACCCTGCTTGATGTCCTCCACCCAGCTCACCTATTGCGGGACAATAATAAGTCTTTCTGGACGACCTCTGGTGAGGATTACTGGCTTACCTGGTACTTGTCGTCGCCGACCTTGGCCACCGGCACCACCTTGCCGCAGGGGAACTCGGCGAACAGGCTGGCAGGAGCCGAGCCGCTGCACTGCAGCGTGAACTCGCCCACATGGGCCAGTTGGGTCAGAATCGTGGCATCCTGTGTGCTGAAGGAGCTCACGGTGGCCTTGCAGCTGCCGTAGACTCCGGACGCGCAAACGGCGGCAACCAGACAGATGGCGAACAGTTGACGGGACATATTGGTCGTGTTTTAGAGTGGTTTTTATTGAGGAATCAGTAGAATTGGTGGAACTCAGCGGCAATCCAACTCGGCGACCTGGGACTTTCTTTCTCTCTGCAGTGAACGCCACGACAGCACCATACGTCACTTGACAGCTACGAAAATTGCTGAGGTCTTCCGCGGTTGATGGTCACACTGGTGTCCGCCAGGGATGGAAATTATCGATTGAAATTTGGCTATAAAATAGCTAGACGCTAAACATGTATTTTTTATCTGAACAAAGTGTATCAGTGGTTTAGTTCTGTATAATTCAATTATAAACAAAACGTTTTCTTTATTCACAGTGTAAAATTTTGAAACCTAATTTTGCAGCTCACAACTGTCGTTTAAAATGTAGCTGTTAAGAATAATAAATTAGTTTAAAAAAACTCCAGAAATTCTATGAATTCCGCTGGTTTTTTGGATTTAAAACATATACAATTTTAAATTTGGAACCCTTGGTGGTCACATTACATTTATATTTGCATCTCAATTGGTATTCTTAATTACATCGAATTGATATTTTTGAACATTTTCAAAACGAGTTTTATGATGCATACTTTTTGAATAATACATTTCGCTTCGCAGAACCGAGCATTTGACAGACCTACGATTTTTGGAAAATTGGACATATTTATTAATAACAACACGGGAAGTTGGGCCATCTAGGGTCGTGTTCTGTCTTATCAACCATATAATACAACACACATTATTACTAACATACTTGGGCATGGGTATTAAACGAGCTTTTTGGAGACAGACAAACGCAGTTGAATAATATTCATTAAATAAATCACGTCTTTGTGCTCGCAACATATTTGAAATGTTTAAGATAGTAAATTTTCTGTTTTGCACACTCTTAGCTTCCCAACTGTGTGGGAGTACGAGTACCGATTGCAACGTGGAGGATCTAGTAAGCCAGTGCGGTGGATTCTGTTTCAGAGCGCTATGGCCGATACTGGATCACATTTCCTACCACCAGGAATCAGGATCTAATGCAAGCGATATCAATCACATAGCCACACGAGTCCAACTGGACAAAATTGAGAAGCAACTGGTTGCCCAGCAACAGGTCCTATCCAGCCTGGAATCGTCTCAGAAGAATATCCCAAAGAATTTTAAGCAGATCGGTAGCAGTTTCTATTATATTGAGAGATACAGCCAGCAGAATTGGTTCGCCGCTAGAGATATCTGTCGTCGAATGGGAGGTAACCTGGCCAGCATTCGCAGCGATGCGGAGCTGACCGCCCTCAACGCCAAGCTGCCATCCTCAACTGAATTCTGGCTGGATATCAACGATCTGGGTAAAACGGGCGCATACGTGTCCTTGAGCTCCGGAAAACAAACAACCTTTCTTAAGTGGTCATCGGGAGAACCAAGCAATACCAGCCATCATTGTGTTCTCCTGAATAATCTTATGTATGATACGAACTGCGACCAGTTGACTTTGTTTATTTGCCAAGCAGGTGATATAAATGAGTGAAAATTATAACATTTTCAATTAAATTTTACAAAATAAAAGATTACCGATTTTGGAAAGAAACATTTATCTTTGTGGTTATTGGTTTATTGTAAACAGATCTCCGGATCTCGATATCTATAAATGTGAATTGGCATTAAGTTGGAAAACCATTTTGGTTCGATTTCATTACTCACTTGAAAACCTTATCTGGTATATAATGTGGAGGTTCGATATTTTGTTTTTGGTCGGTTGGCGGAAAGGGAGGTTAGTATCCCCCAAAACGTCCCGTGGTTCCGACCTTGAAACATATTCGTTATAAAAGGTTATCAAAATTCTTTGGTACGTTAGTACTGCGTATCATTGGAAGAAAAGAAAGTCGGGTCATCTAAGGTCGCCCTTATCAACAGGATGATTCGCCAAAAACACCATAAATATACCAATACTATGGTACCAACATGGGTATAATTGAGACATTTCAGAGCCATGGTAGATCAGTTCGAAACAGATTGGTAGACTTGACTGTGTCTTCGTCTGCTGTTTGCAAAAATTAAAAATGTTTAAGACTGCAGCCGCTCTGCTCTCCGCCTTACTGTGTGGATTTCTGTCTTTGGATGTTGTGAGCTCGGAATGTAAAGTCGAGGACCCTGTGAATCAGTGTGGTGGATTCTGCTTCAGATCGCTGTGGCCGATACTGGATCACGTTGCCTATCACCAAGGCTCGGGATTGAATCTCACCGATTTCCATCAACAAGGCTCTCAAGTTCAGCTGGACAACATTGAACGACAACTGGCTGCCCAGCAACAGGTCATATCCAACCTGGCGTCATTGCAAAGTAAAGCAAAGAAGGGCCTCCCAAAGAACTTTGAGCTGGTCGGCACAGGATTTTATTATATTGAACGAAACAATAAGCTGAATTGGTTTGCCGCTGAAGATTTTTGTCGTCGAATGGGAGGTCACCTGGCGAGTATTCGCAGCGACGTTGAATTGGCCGCCATCAACGCCAAGCTGCCATCCTCAACTGAATTCTGGATAGATATTAATGATCTCGCAAACAGGGGCGAGTACACGTCCTTGACATCAGGGAAGCGACCAAGATTTATGAGTTGGGAAAAGGATCAACCAACTCGAGCAAACAGCGATCGTTGTGTTCTTCTGTACAAACAGATGTATGATAGAGAATGTGAGCAGGCAACTTTGTTCATTTGCCAAGCAGGAGATGAAATTGAGTGAAATAACTGGAATAATAACTTTTAAATTTTGTGGTTTGGAAAAGTTGTATTTATTCAGAATGGAAACAAACTTCTTGGTTTAGATAAACGCTATTTAAAAATGTGTATTATAGCACAGATATAGAATTTTTGTACATCTCACACAATTCAACAGAGGTTTCTTTAAGAATTCAAAAGTATTTATTTCTTGAACTTTCTTAGTTGAAACTATTTTGTGTTTTCTAGCTACGTATTAGAAAAAATAAAATTAGCTACTTTACTGGTTGAATATAAAATCATAAAATTAGCAAATACTTTTTTACGATGATGGTAATCACATGGAGTTTTTCAAATGAATTTATTTATTTAAAGTTTGACTGGCAGTACTACGCCCAGTTCAGGCCGTTCCAGTCACAGTAATTTGGTACCGACGCCTCTGCTAATTAAAATAGGTTCTTTTCTGACAGTTTTTCTCCGGTACCGCTCTGTATTTGGTTACCACTCCGTCTAACATTTACGGCAATCCAATTGTAATTGATTTCGAATTGCACAAGTCGGGGGAAAAGTAAAATACCAAATTCAGAGTTCTGTCCGATCGGTACAAAGCGCGTCGTCAAAGTCAAGCCATAAATATTGACTATTGACTGGAAATGATTAATGCCACCCATCCATCCGAATTGGCCTTTCAGCTTTGTTTTAAGTACATTTTATTGGCAATCAGAAAATCGGATACTATCGTATAAATACTTTGGCTAACAGGCATATGTATGTTTGGTTGATGTGGCTGTGACCTTGAAGTGGGCTTGATTTGGTTTTGCTTTTTTGGATTTTATGCCATTTTGTGTTTGTGTTTGCCTCAACTCGGCTCCGTTTTGTTATGTTCGTTACTTTTCTTTGATTGCCACCGCGCACGAAACTTTTCCACCGAACTTTGCATGTCTTTGATGAATTTGAAATTGTCACAAATGTGAAAGTTTTTCACTTGCCAGCCCATCCATAGCGGAGATTTAGATACTCGTACTCGTACTCACACTCATACTGATACCCACCGTGTGACAACAACTGAATTTGCATCTAACATTTCGCTGACATTGAGTGACTTGTACGCATTTCACCCCTCAATCGCACCTCTCTCTTCCCATTATTTTGGCAAAATTCATTCATTCATGGCCGGATTTGCATATTGCCAAAAATGCTGTAATCCTTTCGATGACGGGGCGTTGGGTGGGTGGTTCGTAAATGAAAACAAAAGTTCGTGTGGGTTCATTGAGTCGCAGTCGAAAACTTGCCAGACCCACCGAAATTGCACGTGTCTTTCGAAAGAGTGGGGAAATTCGGGGTTGGCAGGTGGATGGATGGGTGCACTGAAAACATTAAATTTGTCAAGATCATAAGGGTCTGTTAACATATTCTTTGATGAAATATTTTATTAAATATAGGTTTATTGTAAATATTAGATTACATGAATATAAGTTTAAAATCATTAGTTGTATTTGACTTATCGAGTTAAACATGTTGGTTTCAAAATAGAGAATACGTGTTTTTATAGGTTCTATTATCAAAAACCTTTTTTGAAATATACGGGTTGAAAAGTGTAGTGCTATTTTGGATATAGATGGAAAATGTGATTACATTGAAGTAGAGGTATATCATGCATTTATTAAAAAAAAGATAAGTTTTAAATAAAAATATATTTTTCTTTTTTTAAAATTAATTTTAAGTTTTTAATATCATCTAAAGATTTATATATATTGTAGACGATTATATTATCGTGTATTTAAGATATAAATACATTTTCAGGTACATCTTTTTCGATTGCTTTCATACTCCCACTTAGGAAACATTTTTTTCAGTGTAGTTCGGTGGATGGTTGTCTGACGTGTGGGTGTGAGCAGGAAATGGAACAAACAACCGAACTCCAAAGAGAGCCAGAGGCAGCATAACAGGCGACTCCTTGCCAACGTTGCGATTTTGTTGATTGTTTGTTGGCAACATAAACGAACCCCCCGAAAAACCGATTCCGGTTCGGAGTCCGAAATTCTTCATTCACAAAACGCAGTCGATGCAGGGCATTCAAGCCAAGTGGACGTGGAAGCCACCTCAATCTCGGCCAGAACCAGGGATCACATTCCCAAAGTGGCTTTCGCTTTCGTGACGGTTCACTGTTTACGGTTTTTGGTTTTCGGTTGGCGGTCCGTTTGGGGTTTCGCTTTGGGTTTCCATTACAGTCCGTCGTCTACTTTGTTGACAAAGTTATTGCCTTTGGCTTAATGACTTCGTAATTGATTTGCATTCGATGTGCCACATTGATTGGCAATTGAAACGTAAGGCACCCGTCTCCCAGAACTCCTCGGCTCGCACTCCAAGAACCCATTCCATTCCGGCAACCACTCATTGTCACCGTTGCCAATCAAGGTTATCAAGGATATACCGGCTGTCACCATGTCGCTGTCTGTGGCCAGCCGTCGTCGCCTCCAGACGAGTAACGCTCCATCGTCCACCGCGAACCCATCCTCAACCACTTCCGGTGGGCGATACCAACTGCCATTGTCCGTGCGTAAACAGCACTCCTTCATCGAGCCCACGGCCAGATTCTCGGCCCAGCAGAGGGGCTACCTCTCCAGGGGTCTCTCCGTGGGCCGATCCATCGAGAACATCCGTCAGAAGCTATATCCCGTGAGCAGGCAGACGTCCCTGGCCGTCGAGGAGGCTATTCCAAGGATCGCCCCGCGCAACACGGCCTCACAGGTCCAGGGATTAAGGCTGAGGGACAAGAGTCTGGTGGCTTGGTCATCCACCACATCCTTGCTAAAGGACCAGGAAGCGGAAAGAACTTCCCAGGTTGAACCGGCTGAGGCCAAGATGTGAGTATTCTAAGCAGATAATATCAAATGTAAAAGTTAATTGGAATGATGTTACTAAGAATCTTAACTTTATATTTTATACTGTGAAATACATACTCAAGCACCTTAAAATAATTTTCAAAAAGTGATTTTATTATTAGCATCCAAAACCATAGGAAAAATGTTACCCTGAATTTGAGAAATTCTCACTTAATGGCGATTTTTTGCACGACAATTGGACAACTTCTATACAAATTATTTCTCAAATAGCGTACATATGCTTTAAAGTTAGTCTTTACTCAGTACTTTTAAAGTGTAGCCCACCTAAATAATGGGCAACAAAGGCTTAGAAAATTTGAAATAAGTAAAAAAATTTCGTAACATTTTTGAAATGTAATTAAGATTTAAGATTATTTTGTTTCTTTTTTTTGTCAATGTAAAAATTTTTTATTAAACTCTTTATATGTTAAATGTATGTCTATATTATTAAAAACCATATATCTAGGGATAGTTTGTTTATCTAAGCCCCTTTTAGGTTTAATTTTGTTAAATAGTTACTTTGCTAAAGTATTCAAATGACTTAATTAGAATTTAAATGGCCACATTTGGTAGATTGTCGCACCTATGGAAACCCTTGTTTGACCTTGGCGCTACCAAAGAGTGCGTATGGGTTTCACCGAGTCCGTATAACTAATAAACTCAATGACTCCAGCCGTAATGGCTGCCCTGAAATCATCTATATAAATATACCGAAAGTGACACTTTCGATATGGGCGTCGCGTCAAGTTCTGTGTGCAATTTGCATGCTTCACGCCCAAATCAAACGTCAAAGTTTTATGTTCCAGTGCATAACACACGCTAGACATGCTCGAAATGGGAAGCCAATGTAACCGGGGACTCCCCCTAGAGGCACCACCCACCATATCCCACCTGGCGGCACACTTAAGTCGATCATTGCCTCGAATCGCTGACAAGATAGCTGGCTGAAAAGCGGAAAACTTGGGCGGAACCGTAGTGCCTGATAGCGATGGGGTTCAATGACCCAAAGATTCGTAGACTCACTTTCAACGGTCGGCTTTTCGGGCGCCAATTGCCAACGTAATTGACATGGTTTCCTTTTTCAACGGGTGGGTGGGGGTTTCTGCAAAACCCAACACCCAACACCCAAGTTAATTTCTATTTCTGTGCCTTGCATGATTCGGAATCGAGAACAGCATAAATTGCCCCGCAAACTAATGCCAAATAATTTGATTTAAATTTAGCCGGGTGGCGGGAGTAGGTCACTCGAAACTTTCCATTTCCATTTCCATTTTCATTTCGATTTCCCTAACCCTAACAAATTTCGAGTTGCAATTCTCATTATCGTTTTGCAGTAGCGCCAAGGCGGACAAGAATCGTATTAATCTGAACATAGTGCTGTCGCAGACCATAAGGGCCACCAACGAGAGGGAGCAGGAAACGGAAGTGGAGCACGAACCGGAAGTGGAAGCGGAGCACATTAGCGACATCGAGGGAAGTCATCCGGTTGAAACGCCGGACATCCCTTTGAGCATCTCGCCGGCCTTGACCGTCCAGAGGCGTCCGCCCCTGGTGCGTGCTATGTCCGCTCCCGTCCGCGGATTGGACGAGAGCAGCAAGGGCGTCATCGCCGCCAGCAAGCGTAGCCAGCAGAAGCTGCGCCGTCGCAAGATCTTCACGAGAACGCCCTCGTCCTCGGTGGGCGGCGGTGTGTCCGTGCCCCTAGATGTCATCGGTGACACCACCTCTTCGTCGTCCTCCTCCACCATCTCCAACGGCCCCAAGAAGGCTCTGAATCGGGCACGCAGCGTGGTTGCCCCCGATGTCATCACCCTGGTGTCCCTGCTGAGTTCCGAGGGCAGCGACTCCGAGCGGGAGGACAATAGTTCGGTGGCGGTATCATCGCCACCTGCCGGCGGGGCGGAGAAACAACCGCCGGGCGCCACGCAGCGAAGGGCGCCGCTGCTGAGGAAGACGGGCAAATCGGGTAAGCTTCAAGATCTGCATTGGAAAACGATCTTAAACGATGATATTCAATGAGATATTCAAAATATTTACCTTAATTAAAAAAAATTGGCAGTTTAATCAGAATTAAAAATGTATTCCATTGGGAAAAAAGGCCTAAATTTAGGGGAATCAAATCATAAAGAATACAAACTTA